TTCCTCTAGCTCCAACTTTTTAGTTTCTCTTTGATTCATTGCAAAAAAGCAAAAAATGTTTAATATCATGTGCATATTGCTTGAAGATGTAACATAATCCTCTGTACTCAGCCCTATGTGTCACAGTTGACACCTAATGCAACAGAAGAATGTATATGCTTATTATATGTTTATGAGAGATCTATCCATGATAATGGACTAGTTGAATAACAAATATATATCATCACTTCTGTCTGTCTCCTCTCCTTTTGTTAACTGGAGATGTATTTTGTACCATTTATGTTAACATCCTACTCAAGAAAACATGAATTTAGACAAGTATTGATGATTGAATATTATTATTGACGTTCAGGTAGCACTAATCTTTGGAAAAAATCTCATTTGAGATGTGGGAGGATTGACATTAGCTGCCGAAAGGTGGATGACTTCTATACAAGTCATTTAGAGTGGGTTGCATAACCTTCCGAAGGTGCTTATCTTTCTCTACCAATTATACAGAAGTCTACAGTGACTTGCATAATCCAGACTCCTACCTTTTAGGTCATTAAAATTTACTTCAAATGAGTTTCACTAAAATTCTGCTCTTAATAGAGCAGAAATTGTTCCTGCTTATGTTTTTTCAAGTGTTAAACATGATTTTAATGCAACTACTGAATTAATTAAATTACATAATATTTAATTATTATATTTATTGTTATTATAAAATGTAAAGATATATTTGAAAGAGTTTCAGTAGTGCAGAAAATGTATATTTAAATAACACTGTGTTGTATGATAGGTAAATCTCATGCAAATAAAAAAGTATAATTATTGACTGTGTATTGTTATTTATTGGCTAATGTTCAGGGATTTCACAGATGATAGAAAAAAACCAAAGAAATTTTAACTGTTTGCAAAGAGTTAGCCTTGGCTAACAGCCAAATTCCCACCCAGTTACACCTTCCTCTCAGCATGTCAGTGGGAGAATATAGGATAGGAAAGGTAATGTGTTGACATAAAGACAGGGAAATTGCTTAACAATTGCCTTCACTGGCAAAACAGAATCAAAATGGGGAAAATAAATGTAATTTATTGCCAATTGCAGCATCTTTGTGTAAGGACAAACAAAGGGAAATATAACAATAACACATTTCCTCTCTTCCCTTTCCACGCTCAACTTCCGTCTTCTCCCAACACCTTTCCCAACAGAGGCCATGCCTGCAGTCTGCTGCTGACACCACCTTGACATCTGCATCCAATATGCTGATTTTTCACTCCTGGTTTTATTCATTTTCCTGCTTTTATTCTCAGTCTAAGAATAGATAAAGAAGGTCTTCTGACAAATATGTCCCAATACTTCTATTTAAACATGTAAACAAATGTAAATAAAATCTGAAAATAAGAGCAGTAAAAAATAATTTCTCCTATTTTTCAGTTTTGGTTCAGCACTGTGAATTTTATGTAGATTAATTCTAGTTCCTAATACTGTCCCTCATGTTCATGTGCAGCTTTAGGAGATTCTTGAGTGCTTACAAGGAAAGATATACCCTCCTAAGAATAACTAAAAAAGTAATAGAGATATGCCTGCATTTGTATTCAAGCTTGAGTGGTGTATGGCAGGTTCACTAACAACTGACAGCTTTCTGGATACTATTCCCAAATGAAATGAGAGTGTATTTTTACATTCCATGCATGGAAAGCAGCATCCGACTGAAACTATTCTCTTATTCTCTTACTTTGCTCACCTTAATACTTGTGAGCTGCTGACCTTACTTTCCATTAACCTTATGCCTTTTATTTATTTATTGGTCAGATGTTATTTGTCATCAGAAATCTTTATTATTTCTAGGATGCTGATGCAGTAAAGTGAAGTTGAAATAAAGGATCCAAGTTTGTATTCCAAAGTTTAGGCTGATCTAGTAATATAACTTTTACTTCTAGAGCTTAAACTTTTACTGTGTTTTTCATAGGCGTGTTGAGGCTACTTATTTCTGTCAAAAAGTGAGGTCTACCACTCAAAAGTCATACTGAATTTCCCAGCATGGATTTAAAGGAACAGATGGATAACCACAGTCAATGTTGCCTTAATTTTGGAAATGACAAATTTCAGGTATAGTTATCAATAGTATTTTCAAATTTAAAACCTCCAGTACATATATTTTTTCATTATTTATTTCCAGAAATATTTTAGTGATTTGAGCTATTTAATTATGAATTCACAGAGTCTGAAGTAGTAGTTGGAGGTGCAAAGCATGATGGACCTTCATTGGTGATTGAAATACAGACCAAAAAAACCTCTCAGTTTAACACAACAGTTCATATAGAATTTATTATTGTTCTCAATACAACAGTCTGTGAGAATTATATATTCTTACATTTCTGGCTCATAAACTTTGAAATTTGTCATGTTCTTGTGTAGATTAATGTTAATGTGTTATTTCTCAGATTGCAAACTGTTGATGTTATAAGCATTTTCTGCAGGCTGAAACACAATGTAAACACAGTAAAGTCTTTTAAGTTCTCAGCAGTGCCATTTAAAAGCATGAAATCTGAATTCCAAGTTTACATTATTTCAGTAACTACATCATGTTTAGGTCTGAAAGCTATTTCAGTAATGACTTCTTAATGTGATTTCTTTTCATGAAAGGTGTAATATGCCTGATTCTAATGTCACTTGTACCATATTTGCATTTTTTAAGAGAGTTTTTCTTTTATCACTCTTTTACATGTGTAAGCTTTATAAACCTGTAATGTCACAATTGACAGAATTAGTTATTTATGGAAAATAAGGGGTGTGTTTCTGCTTATAATTACACCGTAACATACGAATGCATAGTTATTGAAATGGTTAATGCTTTATCAGAATAATAGTGAAACCAAATCAAGCGTGCAAGGAAATGCAGCTACATTTGAAAGGAAATTGCAAAGAGGCTACAGAGCAGATATATATTATACAGACAGCCATTTACAGAAATATACTGTTTAAATATGCTATTCAGTTTTGAAAAAAATTGATTTAGCTGTTGAACTGATGGGATGTAGACTTTTAGATTATAACTAAATTTCAATACATTGTTTCTAAACCAAAATTAGTGATATAAAATAAATAAAGACCTTTGATATCTTTATAAATGAGGTTTTTCTTTTATTCCAATACTAAAAGGAAAGTATTTTGTACATGAAACATTTCTGGAATATTGGATCAGCTCAGTATTTAAGGTAATCCTCATCGTTATGGCAGGGCCATGTGGAAAACATGTGCCTTTGGTTTTACCTGCTCTGGACCCTCTGGCCATCCCCTCCCGGCCCCCTCTGACCCAGCAGTCACTGTGGGGCTTCCAGGCCGGGCTGAGGGGTCGGGTTCTCCCTGTCCCTGCCAGTGGGAGCTGGGTGTGGGGCTGCAGGAGCTGTGGCTGCTCCAGTTTTCCCGGGCTGGTTGGGACTGACAGCTACTGCGGGGCTTGCCCAGGTGAGCTCCTGGGGCTGCCCTGAGGGACACGAGGCCACCCCCCCTCCGTGAGGTTCCACCCATCCCTTCCCCCTCCACACCCATGGAGTGGACTGATTAGAAGATGGAGTCTGATTGCGAGCTGGAGTCTGTTTGCCATTGTCTCCTGCGTGGAGTTCCAAAGCCTGGATGGCACAGCCAGGCTGCTACAGGAGCCGAGCTCCTTACCAAAGCTGCTGTGGAGGCACCCAGCAAGCCAGCAGAGACAGGCAGACCAGCAAAGAAGAGAAACAGTTCTTCCAACCCAAAAGCGCAGCAAGGACTTGCTCTCCCAAATCAGGGGTGCCAGGCAGATCTTGCTTGGAGACCGGGGAAGCAGCCCGGGGACACTCAGGGCCCATCTTGGTGCCAGGAGACCTCGGCTGGGATCCTGGTGATCTGGCCATGGAGCATCTGGGGGTACCACAGCGAGGGAATTTAGGGCCGTGCCCAGGGACTGTGGAGGGCTGTTGGAGCTTTGCTGAGGGAGCTGCTACCTCTCTGTTCCCCTGCCGGTTGGGCTTCTGTGGGAATAAGTTAAGCCAGCAGCAGCTGCATTCAGTTAGTTAGGATCAACCAGGAGTGTTTTGGCCTTGACTGGTTGTGGGAAGTAGCAGAGACTGTAGAAAGCTGCCTTAGGGAACTAGGGGGCAGAAGCATGATAGAAATAGTAATATTAACATGGTATAAAAGGTAGCGACTGTAACAAAAAAAGGTCTCAGTATCCCTGATGAGCTGAGTCCATGATTTAATACACCAGGAGTGGCGCCCAAACAGGGACCTTAATAAAACGCCGGAGGGAGGACGTCTTACCCGTGGCATAGCTTGACTGGACGATGGGCTGAAAGGAAGCCCAGGTGCACTGCAATTACCTTCCTGCTGGACAGCAGGGAAGCAGCCGAGGACGTGATGGGGAACTCTATACCCAGAGAGCATAAGAATGTAATCGAAGTATTTAACATAATTTGTGTAAGCAACAGCGGGAGCTATCAGATATGGACTTAAAGTGGCTGTTAGCATGGGCTTGTGACGATGATCCTAACATAATTACATACACTGTTTGTGATGTGGAACGATGGGACAAAATCAGAGCCCGTCTGCAGGACAAAGCTATTAAAGATGACAAAGAGGCCGCAGAACTTCTAAGCCTTTGGCGGACCCTCTGTGAGGCCCTGAAACTCTCTGTTGGGTCTAAGAAATCCTACCCACTGCCAATAGAGACAGTGCTTCTTTGGGAAGCATTTTCCTTGGGAAGCAAGCCCCTTGCCTCCCCAGGGATGACCCAAGTCTTGGGTTTTCTTGGGGAACCCCAGCACACCCAGCACTGAAGATCAGCAAGATCTTCAAGTGCACAATGCTGTGCAAGTGGCCCTTCAGGACAGGCCCCTTTGCAGCCTGAAGTGCCCATGTCCCTGGGGGTGTGCTCACGGCTCAGGGGGCAAAAGAGAGGCAGGAGCGGCCCCGTGAGCTGCAGGGATGAGGTTTTGTGCCCTTTCAGTTGCACCAAGACACAGATAAGGGGGAGAAAGCCAGGGTTTATTAACATCAGGGGTAGGGGAGGGATGAAGTGGGGTGAGGAGAAGGGAATAGATAGAAGGGAGCCGTCCCTGGGGCTGCAGAGGCCAGGAGCTGCCTGGCCTCGCGGGCTGGCTCAGTTGGGCCCAGCATCAGCTGGAGCTGCAGCTGCGCTGAGAAGTGGTCCCTGGGCTGTTGCGGGGCTGTTGCAGGGACATTGGTCGTCTCAGCGGAGCAGGTGGAGTTCTCATGGCACGGCTGTAAGTGGCCATGAGTGCAGCTCTCATGTTGGAGACGGAGGGGCAGTCGTCGTCGCTCATGGCTGTAAGGGCTGGAAGACAGAGGAAGAGAGCCGGGGTCAGAGCACAGCTGTGCGAAGACCTGAGGAGCCCCTCCTGCCAGGGCCATGCCGGGCAGCTTTTGACACGGCCAGGAGGGAGCAGGGGCCAAGAGGATGAGCGGGAAAGTGCTGGGCACCAATGGGCACCCTGCCCCTGCCATGTGTGTGTGCTCTGGCCACGGCGCGCAGGGAGCCCTGCGCTGGCAGGGCAGGGATTACAGCTCCCTGCCCAGGGTCTGTGCTGGTCCCTGGCAGCCCCCAGGGAGGCCCTGCTGCCCTCACTCACCTTTGAGGATGGGCCACAGGTCTTGCTGCTGCTCCCTCATGTGCCAACCGGCCACCCCTGGGAACACAGAGGCTGTCAGGGCCCCAGGGGCTCCGCATCGGGAGGCCCCGGGGCTGGGCTGGCAGAGGGTGGCAGCAGCCGCCAGGGCACTCGGGGCTCCCCAGCACATCCCTGGGCCGCATCCTGCTGCCGCTGCAGCAGCCGGGGCTGGGGCCGAGCTGCAGCGGGGCGGGGAGGGACCGCGGTCTTGGGGCTCACCCATGAACCTGACGGCCGCCTCTCGCAGGGGCTCCTGTGGGCTCTGCAGGTAGGGCAGGGCCTGGTGCAGGTGCTCACCCCTTTGGCTCATGTCCTTTTCCATCTGCAGAGAGTAGGGGGGTATCTGGGGGGGCAGCAGTGGGCAGGGGCACAGGGCCAGCCCCGCACACATTGGGGGCTTCTCCAGCCTGGGGCTGGGCCTTTGTGCTTGTCCTTACCAGGCAATCACAGAACCTGAAGGGCTGCTCCGTTTTCAGCAGCTGCTCCAGGTCCTTCCTCTGGAGGAAGCTTGTAGCCCAGAGCAGCGCTTCCCAAGCGGCCTGCAGAGCAGCAGAGAGTGGGACATGGCACCACAGCCCAGGGCACAGCCCCTGTGTCCCTGCTCCAAGGTGAGCAGGAGGCTGGAACCCTTGAAGCCCCAGGGCAGGAGGCAGCCCAGCCCCTGCCATGGGGACACCAGAGCCCACCAGTGCTCACCTGTGCCACGCACTGATTCTCGTCATGCCAGCGGAAGAACAGTGGGACCAGGCTCTGGCGCACCTGCATCTCCCAGGGCTCTGTTCCCTCTTCCGCCAGCAAGTCCATCACCTCTCGGAAGAGGCGAATGGAGAGCAGCTGCACATGGCTGTTGTCCTGGGGCCAAAGAAGACACAAAGACCTCAGCACTGCCTGCTCCAGGCCCTCCAGGCCCACGCCTGAAACTCTACCAAGTTTGCTGGCAGCACCCAGTGCCTGTGGCTGGGGGCACAGAGCCTTACGTTGTCAAAGACTGGCCGGAGCGCCTCAGCCAACCTCGAGGTAGTGGAGCTGAACCCGTCACTGTTTTCTCCATCCTGGAGCACATTCCGGAACAGGGAGAGGGTCATCGTGACCAGCTCTCCATCTCCATCACACAGCAGCTCCAGGAGGTGCTCAGACAGGCTGCAGATGCCTTTGGCCTGGGTGGAACACAAGGCTGTGCTGGGAAGCCCTGAACAGCTGCCCCACCAACGCCACTCTGGCACTGCAAGCCCACGCTGCTGCCCCGGGGCCCAGAGGCCAAAGACCTGTCCCACAGGGCCTGGGCAGCTGGAGAGGGAGGCAGGAGAGCTGGGAACAGCTGCCACAGCTCCCGAAGTCCAGCCAAGGCCAAGCCACTGCCCTCTCCAGCCCCAGGCTGCCCGTGTGGCTTCAGCCCCTACCCCCTTCTCACCATGGAGGGATCCACGCTCAGCACCAGGAGCCCTCGCAGAGCCAGGCGCCGCCTCTCTGGGCACTGGCTCTGCAGGTGCCTTGCCAGGATCTGCAGGACACTGTCGTGACAGGTGCTCACATCCAGATAGTCGAGGACCTGGAAGGCAGAGAGCAGTGCCGGGGTGGTTGGGCGGCAGGAGCACGGAGCCGGCCAGGGCTGGGCCCAGGCAGCAGCACAGGGCACAGGCACCGTCCCGGGCAGCTGCGGCTGCCAGAGGGCAGAGAGGGGGAGGCAGCGGGGCCAGGCAGCACTGGCCATCGGGCTCACCTCGACAAGGAAGGCCAGGGCAGGCAGCTCCCAGCGGGGCCCCTCCCTGCTGAGCAGCCCCAGCAGGTGCCTTGCCAGCGGGCCATAGGAGGGGACCAACACGCGGCGCATCTCCCTGTCAGGGCAAAAAGGGAAGCCTCGGCCCTGAGTCGGGTGGGCAAAGCTCTGCCAGCACTGGTTGGGCTGTCCCTTGGGGCCAAGGCCCTCTGGCCCACACCCACAGGGGCTGTGTGGGCTGTCCCATGCCCAGGGCAGAGATGCCGCAGGCAGCGGGGACAAGGCTGTCTCACCTGGCCAGCAGCCCCACCGCGTAGTGGTGGGTGTCAGCAGAGAGGAGCGCGTCCCAACCACGCTTGCGCTCCACTGACACCAGCTCCTGGTCCCACTGTAGCCGCCAGAGCAGGGCCTGGATGGTCTGCACCACAAAGCTGTGTGCAGAGCAAAGGCCACGTCACGCTGGGAGCCCTGGCCCCAGCCCCGAGGGCACGGTAGGGAGAGGGGACGGGCATGGAGCACCTGTTGGGGTGGGTGGGAAGGCCATGTTGCTCCTGGCATCCCCTCCAGAAGGTGCTGACCTCCTCTGGCATCTGCTCTGTGCTCATAGAAACTTGGCAGAGCAGAGCCACCAGGAGACGAGGGGCATGAACCAAGAGTGCATCTTGGCACTGGGGCTCCTGGACCATCAGCCACAGGGCCAGGGTTGCCTGCAAGAAAGCCATGTGGAGACACCATCAGTGCCCAGAGGGAGGGAGAGACCAGGGAGAGCCAGGGGGACCAGCCAGCCTGCTGCCCCTGAACCTGCCCCTCAGCCCCATTTGCAGCCCAAGGCCTGAGGGAGATGCAGCGGTGGAGGAAGATGGAGAGTCGCTGCAGAAACTCACAGCCAGGGCAAAGACATCCACGTGGTCTCCGTCGGAGGTGGACACGCTATGCAGTGGCCAGTCCTCCATCACCCCGAGCAGCATTGGCAGCACCTTGTACGCTGTGGTGGCCGAGGAGGCGATGGTCCTCCACAGGATTGCAGCAGCTCTGTGGAGCCAGAGCTCTGGGTCAGGGGGGTCTGGGTCTTGACAGCTCTGAGGGCCCAGGTGACAGAGCCACGGTGCCTTGAGGGGCAGGGAGGGCACATGGCAGCAGGATCGGGGACTGACATGCCAGGGCTGGGAACTGGAGGGGCCAGAGGGTCCTGGAACTCAGGGTCAGTCTGGCAGAGCAGGAGGGACAGGCTGGCCAGGGGGCTGGGTTGTAAAGGCTGGTGAGCCCTGAGGCAGCAAAGCGGCTGGGCCCTGTACCTGTCACACGCTGGGGCACAGTGCAGGAGAGTCATCACCACGTGCCCAGGGTGTACGTGGGCCAGCCTGCGGATGGCAACGGGCGGCCTGACCTCTGCAGACTCCTGGCATGTGAGCCACTGGTGGATGGGGCTGACACTGGCCGGCACCTGGAGGGGAGTGGGGAACACTTGGAGAGCTGCCAGAGCCAGCAGGTTGCCCAGCTTGCCACGGGAAAGGCTTCCCTTCCCACCACACTCTGCTGGCCTCAAAGGCTCAGGCAGCCACAAGACCCCTGTGGGGCTCGAGCCCTGGCCACAGGTTGCTTACTTCATTTGCACTGGAGACAGTTTTCTGCTCCAAAACATCCAGACTGGGAGCATCAGTCACACTGTGCATGGGCATGCAGTCAGTGTTTGTGATGCCCTCAGTTGCGGCGTCAGCCTTGGCCCCGACATCAGTTGGTGCCCTGTCAGAACTTGTCTCGGTGTCGGCCAGCACGGTGTCACAGGTGGCTGTGCCATCCATCGGTGCCATGTCAGAAGTTTCTGTGCCCTCAATCTGTGCTGTGTCAGAGGTGGCTCTGCCATTAACCGGTGCCGTCTCAGAGGTGTCTGTGCCATCAAGAGGTGCCATGTCACAGTTGGCTGCGCAATTGGTTGCTGCCATGTCGGTGGTCTCTGTGCCATCAATCACTGCCACATCCGAGGTTGCTGTGCCCTCAACTGGTGATGTGTCAGAGGTTTCTGTGCCCTCAACCTGTGACGTGTCAGAGGTGTCAGTGCCATCAACCCGTGCCACGTCACAGCTGGCTGCGCAATCGGTTGCTGACATGTAGGTGGTTTCTGTGCCACTGGTCACTGCTCTGTCTGAGGTTGCTGTGCCATCTATGGGTGCCACGTCACCACTGGCTGCACAATCAGTCGGTGCCATGTCCGAGGTTGCTGTGCCATCAGTCAGTGCCATGTCACCACTGGCTGCACAATCCATGGGTTCCATGTCACCGCTGTCTGCACAGTCCCTCGGTGCAGTGCTGACATCAGCCTCCGCCTCGAGCTCGGCTGCGCTGGTGTCAGGCTGTGCCGTGAGCTCGGGCGGTGCGGTCGTGGCTGTTCTGCGCCGAACACCCACGAATTTCAGCAACCTCTGCAGGAGAAGAAAGGGCAGGGAAGAGAGGGAAGTGGCATGGAGTGCTCTGACAGCAGTGCCAGGCAGAGCAGGGACAGCAGGCCCAGCCCAGGGGGGGATGGCTGCAGGTACCTGAACTGCCCTGCGCAAGCGGCCACGGGCGCGGTCCTGCTCTTCTGGGCGGTCCCGGCCTGGATCTGGCAAAAAGCGAAGGCAGCCAGAGCTGAGGGGCCACGGGAGAGGCCAGAGAACACAGCCCTGCCCTGCGCTCCACAGGCAGGGCCAGCCCTGGGATGCCCAGGGGATGGAGCACGGATGCCGGGGGGATCAGCCTTGGGCCCTCTTTTCCCCTTCCTTTCCCTGGCCATGTCCAGAGGGGACGGCAAGGGGCCCAGCTGGCTTCAGCCACCATCCCTGTGGCCCAGCTCCAGCACTTACCCTGCTGCAGTGGCTGGAAGTGCTGCACCTCCTCCTCTACTTCCTGTGCTGGGCCAGCTCCAGGGCCTCTCCTGTTCTTCCTCTTCCTCTGGAGCAGCCGGCACAGGCCGAAGCATCCCCCCGCCATGGCACAGTCTGGTCTTGAGGGCACCTGCGGGAGAGAAACCTCGGAAAAACCCCTGGTGGCCAAGTGTCACTCAATGGCCTGTGGGGCTCCTGCCACAGGGGCTGCTGATGGCTTGGAAAAGCCACCGGTGGCAAAGTCTCAAAAAATGGCCTCAAGGGCCGCTGCCACAGGCACTGATGGCTCCTCGGAAAAGCTCCGGGTCACCAAGGCCCGTGGCCTGGCCTCGAGGGCCACTCCCACAGGGAGTGGGGTCACCTCAGAAACGCTCTGGGTCCCCAACTCCTGTGCTGTGGCCTCGAGGGATCTTATTCGAAAGAAAGCTCTCAGAAACGCTCCTGGTCGACGAGAAAGGAGTTGGCTGCGAGGAGGCTCCTCACAGCACCGCTCTGTCCCGTCCTGCCCAGTCGCCCGCTCCGAGCACGGTGGCGTGGCCGCATTGCCGCCAACACCTTTATCATCACGGGTCACAAAGGACATTGTCCCATCCCCTGGGCGACGGCCACCGTGTCACAAAGGGCCCTGTGACACACTGCCATGGGCCCTGGGGCCTCCCCCAGCCTGGCCAACCTGCCCCAGCTTGAAAGGAATCCATTCCCAAAAGAAGCTGCAGCCACTGGGGGCAAGGCTTGGCATCTGTGCCAAGCCAGCCTGCTGCCCTTGAACCTGCCCCTCAGCCCCATTTGCAGCCCAAGGCCTGAGGGAGATGCAGCGGTGGGGGAGGATGGAGAGTCGCTGCAGAAACTCACAGCCAGGGCAAAGACATCCACGTGGTCTCTGTTGGAGGTGGACACGCTGTGCAGTGGCCAGTCCTCCATCACCCTGAGCAGCGTTGGCAGCACCTTGTACGCTGTGGTGGCCAAGGAGGGCCATGTGGCAAACATGTGCCTTTGGTTTTACCTGCTCTGGACCCTCTGGCCATCCCCTCCCGGCCCCCTCTGACCCAGCAGCCACTGTGGGGCTTCCAGGCTGGGCTGAGGGGCTGGGTTCTCCCTGTCCCTGCCAGTGGGAGCTGGGTGTGGGGCTGCAGGAGCTGTGACTGAAAGAGGAAAACAATCTGTTTGAAATACAAAAGTTTAAAGACCTTATTATGTCACCCTTCAAGGTGGGAACATAATTTGCACATGAAAATAGAGACATATCTGGAACTAGGTTAATTTAAGTGTGATAAAATTCTCTCAAGTGAACAAATAGAAAAAAAACAGCAATGAGAAACCTCTAAAACTTTTTACCAGTTGTAGTACAGAAAGAATTTTTTTATTTTTTTTATTTTAAATAGAGCGATGGATTACATCTATATTTTACATGAAAGTCATCTTGAGGCCCTAAGATTATCTCCCTGAACAGATTCATCTTGCATTCTCATAGCCTAGCTTTCAAACACACTACTCTGAGTATTTTAAAGTTCTCTTGGGCAAACAGGCTTCACAGGTTAGCATACCACTGAACATACCAGATGGACTATCCCCAGGCTACCTCTGAGTAGTGTGGCGATGAGAAGCAGTCGTTGAGATAGGATGTGATCACAAGGCAGGTGGAAATACTTGAAATGCTTACTGCTTTTGGTTTGAAAAATACTATTCAACTGAGCACAATTGTGCACCTGCTCCTTAAGTTACCATAACAGGACATAAACTAATTATATTTGGTACTCCTTGACTTTGAATTTAACTGAAATGGAGCTAGGAGATTTTTTGTTACTTTAGAAAAGATGGAATTTGGGTTTAAATTTGTACACAATTTATCTAGTATAGCAGCATGTCATAGGGATGCAGTGCATTGTTGCATAACAGCTAGCTGATATATAATTTAGAACTGAAATGCAAAGCTCACACAACCTGAAGTGTCATCAGCTGATGCCTGACCAGCCTAATCTCTTTGTTTTCCAAAGAATTTACACTGATTTGTGAAATCACTTTTAGACATATTGCGTTGGTGTTGTTTATGCCCTTTGTGAGTTCATGGTATTCCCTGACTCGTTGCTATCATTGCTGCAATTTTGGTTGACAGCAATGGTTTGGTTTCTTGTGGAGCACACAGCCAGTCCAGGAAGCTGCACCATAGGTCAAATCCCCAGTGCTCCTACTCTGCTTTGATTTTGAAATTAATCCAAGAAAAAATTGGTCTCAGTCAAGATTTACTAAAATATTGATCGCTACTTTGTAGTTTGTGGTAGTCAGTATACTCCAGCAGTTTCTCACATTATGATATTTTAACAAGAGCACTGGAAAAGTAACAAAATTTTAAAAAATAACTATAGATAGATTCATTTCACCTCTTACTTTAAAAAATATTTATGGAATAATCACCTATCTTCGGTATAAAACTGCTATTAAAAATCTCTCATGAATAGACAGCATAGTCCAGCTTCATTAATGAAAACAGAAACTATCTTCTATACTCTTTATCTCTGTGGAATATATTATATATATGAGCACTCTGTACTTTAGATTTTGTTTACTTGTTTGTTTTGTTCACTACTGGTTTTGGCTGGAATAGAGTTAGTCTTCTTCGTAGTAGCTTCTATGGTGCTGGTTTGGATACGTGACCAAAACTATGATGATAATGCAACTACTGCTGAACCATGCTTACACAGTGTCAAGGACTGATGTGCTTCTCATGCTGCTCCACCAGTAATTACTCTGGGGATGCACAAAAAAGCTGAGAAGGGACAGAGATGGGACAGCTGACCCCAGCTAACCAAGTGGATACTCCATACCATATGTATGATGTCCTGCTCAGCAATAAAAACTGAGGAAAGAAATGGGTACCTTTGAAGTTAGGGCATTTGTCTATACAGATAACCACTATGTGCAAAGGAGTCCTGCTTTCCTGGAGATGGATGAATACCTACTGCTGAGAAGGTATTTTGCCTTACCTATTAAACTCTGTCTCAACCCACGAGTTTTCCCGCTTTTACCCTTCCAGTTCTCTCTCCCATCCTGCTGTGGGGCAGTGACTGGGCAACTGTGAGGGGCTTAACTGTCTACTGGGGTTAAACCACAACAACTAGATAAGGGTTTTGCTCCATTGCATAAAGGTAGTTGAGCACTGGCAGGGTCTAATGTGGTCAAGGACAAAATTTTAGATTCTCTATAGTAATAAAATGGAGATATTGATTATTGCCATAAGGATATACACTCACTTTAGCTGAAATGTCATTGCCCTCTACACGGTGCCTGCCTTTGAGCAACTTGTCAGACTGCATGACATGAAAATGTTATTTATATATTCAGATAGAAACAGAGACTTGCTTTAGTCTATAATATGCTCAAAGGGTTCTGTCAAGAAAAGAATTTTGAAAAATGTGTACTTACCAAAAGTAAACCACTCAGATTATTCCAGCTTTTGCTATAGATACAATAACCTCATGGAGGAGTTTACATAGCCATCTCTTGGCACCACAAATTTGCCAGAGGCAATTTTGGGTTCAGAAATTATTACAGTTAATGTCTGAAAAGGGAGCTAAGACAATTGCCAAGTAACAAATGCTTGCCTGGAGATGTGTGAATGTAATCTCTAAAAGTAGTATAAAGAAGCAAATAAGTGGAGATTAGGAACTGAAAATAACATGAGGAAGGAACAGGAACAGAAGATGAAAGAGCCAACTGAAATCATTCAAAGTAATATTTCATTGCAAAGCCCATAACAAAACACTGATGATACAAAGCTGTCATGGTAAATCAAAGCTGATGTATGCATTAAGTGTGTTTGAGAGAGAGATGGTAAATGAGGTATGTGTGACAGTAAATTGGGATTCTGGCCTGTAGGAAGAGGTGGCAACATTTTGAATCCTCTGCAGAGTGACTGTGCCAGAGGAGAACTTACCTCACATGAGGAGCCTCATATGTTCTGTTATTATTCATAACTTGTTGGTTTTTTGCTGTTTATTTTTGCTCACAAAATTAGTGCTCTTCTATGACAGCATTACAGCCTTGGTGGATAAAAGGAGGGTCTGACATCATCTACCTGGATTTGCGCAAAACATTGGACACTGCCCCACACAACATGGTTGTCTCTAAAACCGTGACACACGGATTTGACAGGTGGACCGCTTCATGGAAAAGGAATCATCTGGATGGAGACATTCAAAGAGTTGTCAACAGCTTGATGTGTGGGTAGAGACCAATGACAAGGGGTATTCCTCAGTGATTGGCACGGGGACAAGTATTATTTAACATCTTTGTCAAGGATTGGACAGGACTATAAACTTGAGCGAAGGGATGCAATCCACATGGACCTTGACAGGCTTGAGGATTGGGACCATGGGAACCTCATGAGCTTCAAAAAGGCCAGGTGCAAGGTCCAGCACCTGAGTCAGGGCAATCTCAAACACGGTTACAGGTTGCGTGATGAGTGGACTGAAAGCAGCCCTGCAGAGGACTTGGGGGTATTGGTGGGTGAGGATCACAATATGTCTCATCAATGTGTGCTCACAGCCTGGAAAACCCACTGTATCCTGGTCTGCACCAAAAGTGTGGATGACAGGTCAAGGGTGGTGATTCTTCCCCTCTACTCTGTTCTTGTGAGACCCTACCTAGAGTATTGTGTCCTGCTCTGGGGTCCCCAACACCAGAAACACATGGACCTACTCTATCAGGTCCAGAGAAGGGCCTTGAAGATAGAGCACTTCTGCTCTGAAGGCAGGTTGAGAGAGTTGGGGCTGCTCAGCCTGGAGAAGACCTTCTAGCAACCTTCCATTACCCAAATGGGGTTGACAAAAAAGATGAGGAGGAAATATTTATCAGGGAGTGTAGTAACAGGATGAAGGGTAACAGTTTAAAATTGAAAGATTTAGATTAGATGTTAGATATTAGGAATTGATTTTTTACTGTGAGAGAGGTCAGACACTGGAACAGGTTGCCAAGAGAAGTTGTGGATGTCCTATTCCTGGAAGCGTTCAAGGCCAGCTTGGATGGGGCCCTGATAAACCTGATCTAGGGCAAGGCATGCCTGCCTATGGCAGGCAGTTTGGAACTAGATGATAGTTAAGGTCCATTTCAACCCAAACCATTCTATGGCTGTATGATTCTACTTTGTTTTTACTGATTAGTTACTAATGATTAATTAATATTTTAATTAATCTGGGGCTAATCTATCTTTCTAGTATAATCACACTC